CTTTTAAAACTAGGTATGATAGGGAAATGGGACAGGAGTCATTGCTGTAAACAACCGATAGCTAGAAAGGCGGGATCCAAGAGTCAATGCTCGATCCTGCAAGCACATATAGGTGAGTATATAGGTGAGTACACACACACACACACACACACACACACACACACACACACACACACACACACACACACACACACACACACACACACACACACACAGGCACGCACGCGCGTACGTACATACGTACGTACACGTACGTCCTCACAGTCGAACGGGCATCGCTCGGGGGTCGTAGTCCAAAGGACCCGGGTTCGATTCCCGTCTGAGGCAGAAACTAATGAGCAGAGTTTTTTTTCACATGTTGCCTGTGTTCACCTATCAGTAAATAGGTACCTGCGAGTCCGATACGAGCTGCATGCTGTGTGTGAGAGAAATATGTAGTAGGTAGGATAGATAAAATTAGGTCAGCAGTCAGTACATTAGACAACTGATGGTTAGAGAGGCGGGGACCAAGAGCTAACAGCGTCGTGATCTTGCAGGAACAAATAGTAAATAAACACACACACACACACACACACACACACACACACACACACACACACACACACACACACACACACACACACACACACACAGGTATACATTCACTCGCTCTTACTGAAGGAGAAAGTGGATTGGAAGAGACATGACAACAACGTATAAGTGCTGTATGTTGCTACACGGTGCTGTATGCTGCTATACGGTGCTGTATGCTGCTACACGGTGCTGTATGCTGCTACACGGTGCTGTATGCTGCTACACGGTGCTGTATGTTGCTACACGGTGCTGTATGCTGCTATACGGTGCTGTATGTTGCTACACGGTGCTGTATGCTGCTACACGGTGCTGTATGTTGCTACACGGTGCTGTATGCTGCTACACGGTGCTGTATGCTGCTACACGGTGCTGTATGCTGCTACACGGTGCTGTATGCTGCTACACGGTGCTGTATGCTGCTACACGGTGCTGTATGTTGCTACACGGTGCTGTATGCTGCTATACGGTGCTGTATGTTGCTACACGGTGCTGTATGCTGCTACACGGTGCTGTATGCTGCTACACGGTGCTGTATGCTGCTATACGGTGCTGTGTGCTGTTATACAGTGCTGTATGCTGTTATACAGTGCTGTATGCTGTTATACGGTGCTGTATGCTGTTATACGGTGCTGTATGCTGTTATACGCTGCTGTATGCTGCTATACACGGTGCTGTATGCTGGTACACAGCCATGAGGGGATGGGAGTGCCCAATACCTGTATAGGGAAGGTGCGCCTCACAAAGACTCGTAACAGTTTCCTTTATGGCAATATGCGACTCTCAAAAGAGTCAAACGAGCCACGTTTTATTGGCATCCGGGGAACAATCAACCATTTTGGCTGCCCCTCTGTCTCCTCCCCCCCCCTACCCTCCCCCTTCCTCTCCATCCCTCCCTCTCCCCTCCCTCTCCCCTCCCTCTCCCCTCCCTCTCCCCTCCCTCTCTCACCCTCACCCCCTTATCCACCTCCTTGCATCCATCTGACTGATGAAGAGGGAAGTAGTCGGCTAATGGCATGATTAGCTTTAATGGGGTGATTAGAATTATTGCACGTCATTGTATTGTGTCGTGCACGGTAGGTCTAGGCGGATGGTTAAGAGTTCGGAGCTTGAAGAGGTCCCCGGCGCTCTTCCGAGACGTAGGAAAGAATAGGTCCACTGCAGGGACGTCGGGTAGACGGAATAAATTGAATAAATGAAAGTATTAATATTGTGAGAAATGATCAATGATCAGAGAACGTGATCATGTGGAGAGCAGAGGGGATACTCACCTAATGTACTCGCCTAATAGGGTAGGTAAAAGAGTAGGGATAAATGGGTGATGGTGGTGTAGGTGGATGACGGGTGACTCAGGGTGGATGATGGCTTCACCCGCCGGAAATTGTTGGGTGTTGGAGTGGTGGAAGAGATGCAAGGAACAGGCCGTTAGTGGGGCCCTCCCGTTCCCCGCGTATTGGATTCCGATTCTGGGAAGGCATTGGGGGGGGGGGATGGGAGGGAGCGGAAGAGGGTAACGGGATGGAGGAGATAAAAAGAAGCAGCAGCCGGAGGAGGAGGAAATCAAAGTGAAGTACGACGTCTCATAAGCCTCCTTGGCATCACTCTCAGGACGTGACTCCTGGTACGGCAACTGGCGGGTGATGATTTTGGCGCGAAGGACCAGCGCGTCGGTGTCTTGGTGGCGCTCTCACGGATGTGTTATGATGGGATGACGCATGAGTAAGAGCCTTCCTTGGTCGAGGGCCTCACGAGGTGTAAGAGCCTTGGTCGAGGGCCTCACGAGGTGTAAGAGCCTTGGTCGAGGGCCTCACGAGGAGTAAGAGCCTTGGTCGAGGGCCTCACGAGGAGTAAGAGCCTTGGTCGAGGGCCTCACGAGGAGTAAGAGCCTTGGTCGAGGGCCTCACAAGGAGTAAGAGCCTGGTCGAGGGCCTCACGAGGAGTAAGAGCCTTGGTCGAGGGCCTCACCAGGTGTAAGAGCCTTGGTCGAGGGCCTCACGAGGAGTAAGAGCCTTGGTCGAGGGCCTCACGAGGAGTAAGAGCCTTGGTCGAGGGCCTCACAAGGAGTAAGAGCCTTGGTCGAGGGCCTCACGAGGAGTAAGAGCCTTGGTCGAGGGCCTCACCAGGTGTAAGAGCCTTGGTCGAGGGCCTCACGAGATGTAAGAGCCTTGGTCGAGGGCCTCACGAGATGTAAGAGCCTTGGTCGAGGGCCTCACGAGATGTAAGAGCCTTGGTCGAGGGCCTCACGAGATGTAGAGCCTTGGTCGAGGGCCTCACGAGGTGTAAGAGCCTTGGTCGAGGGCCTCACCAGGTGTAAGAGCCTTGGTCGAGGGCCTCACGAGGAGTAAGAGCCTTGGTCGAGGGCCTCACCAGGTGTAAGAGCCTTGGTCGAGGGCCTCACGAGGTGTAAGAGCCTTGGTCGAGGGCCTCACGAGGTGTAAGAGCCTTGGTCGAGGGCCTCACCAGGTGTAAGAGGCATGATCAAGAGCCTTAAGAATAGAATTAGATTTAGTCGAGAGTCTTACGTGGAGTGAACTCTTGCTTGAGACATCTTCATAACGTCGCGGGCGTCATCACATTATTCATACCGTTGATAATTTCGTCTAACTAACCGTTGTAACGCTGATGGAAGAGTCTGGAAGACATAGATTGTAATAAGAACATCCTAGGAGCGTGGTTGGCCGTGGCTGCTGCACACCTCATATCGTCATAGGGCGCCTGACAGCTGGGTGGACAGTGCTACGGATTCGTAGTCCTGAGGTTCCGGGTTCGATCCCCGGTGGAGGCGGAGACAAATGGGCAAAATGTTTCTTTCACCCTTGATGCCCCTGTTACCTAGCAGTAAATAGGTACCTGGGAGTTAGACAGCTGCCATGGGCTGCTTCCTGGGGATGTGTAACAAAAAGGAGGCCTGGTCGAGGACCGGGCCGCGGGGACGCTTAGCCCCGAAATCGTCTCAAGATAAGAAGATAGCCTAAGATAGTAGGTTATCTTGAGGTTATCTTGAGATGATTTCGGGGCTTTAGTGTCCCCGCGGCCCGGTCCTCGAACAGGCCTCCACCCCCCAGGAAGCAGCCCGTGACAGCTGACTAACACCCAGGTACCTATTTTACTGCTAGGTAACAGGGGCATAGGGTGAAAGAAACTCTGCCCATTGTTTCTCGCCGGCGCCCGGGATCGAACCCGGGACCACAGGATCACAAGCCCAGCGTGCTGTCCGCTCGGCCGACCGGCTTCCGGAGTAGTAGTATTCTCAAAATTCAAAACAAAGATGTAAGGAGTCGGTGTTGTTAAGATCATTATATCTTGTACATCATTGTGAAGTGAAGACTTGGGTCGTTCCTGAGGTGGTGTTCACCCTGAGAGGTAGAGACCTGAAAGGTCCTTGTGCTCTCTCGGCTCGCTAGGATGGTCGCTTCTCCTCCCTGGGTCCATCACACCAAAAATCTGAAATATGTGTGTGAGAGAGAGAGAGAGAGAGAGAGAGAGAGAGAGAGAGAGAGAGAGAGAGAGAGAGAGAGAGAGAGAGAGAGGGAGGGGACAGAGAGAGAGGGAGGGACAGAGAGAGAGGGAGGGACAGAGAGGGAGGGAGGGACAGAGAGAGAGGGAGGGGGGAGAAGCTAGCAAACTGCATGTGTTTTTGTGTGTACTCACCTAAATGTGTTTGCAGGGTGGAGCTAGGCGTCTAGCCCCGCCTTCCGAATGTTCTTAGATTAATGCAATGACTTCCCATGCTTGCGTGTGCGTGCGTGCATGCGTACGTGTGCCTGCAAGCGGGCAGGCGGGCGTGGTATGTATGCTCTAGCTCTAACATGATGTCATCATTAGCATGATGGATGGTGATGGTGGTGGTGGTAAGGGGGGGAGGAGGACGGTTTCTCTGGAGCGGTTATCCACCCCCCACCCCAGCCCCTCCCCCCTCAGGGTCCTCCAACACTACCTGCTTACTCCTGTTGTCTTTTGTAGGGTTTAGTTCTACGCTCACTTGTAAATACAAAAGAATCAGCATATATATATATATATATATATATATATATATATATATATATATATATATATATATATATATATATATATATATATATATAATAATAATAATAATATACTAGGCCTTAGAAAATTTAGGTTTGATTGTTGACTTTTCTCGTGCACTCTAGAAGATTGTGTACAAAACATTGTTATTTTGAGGTAAAATAGTCCATGTTTTATACTGCAATTCACATTCACTATAGGTACTGTCTATTATGGATTGACAGTGATATACCTTATACAGTCATATCAATCTTTAATACAATTGTTTATTGTTATATGCACTCTCTTTAGGAGGAGATTACATTAGTTCATTGTGCAGTATTGTAGGAGATGGCTGACATGGCAGGTGATTGTATAAGATGATTGTATAAGATACTGTAGCTGATACGTCAGAAGGTGTCAGTTGTATCCTCCTGTTTCAGGGGGATGAATAGCGTGCATCGGGAACCAGACTCAGACGCCATCAAAATGTTCGTGGGCCAGATCCCCCGCTCCATGGACGAGAACGATCTCCGTAAGATGTTCGAGGAGTACGGAGAGGTCTACCAGATAAACGTCCTACGAGACAAGGTCACAGGCCAGAGCAAAGGTAGGTGCACTCTTCCCTCCCTCGGTCTCTACCTCTTCCCTCCCTCGGTCTCTACCTCTTCCCTCCCTACCCTACGCCTCTACCTCTTCCCTCCCTCGGTCTCTACCTCTTCCCTCCCTCGGTCTCTACCTCTTCCCTCCCTCGCCCTGGCCATGCAGATCATTTTTCCATCACTTTCACTCCCAGATGTGACATTCTCATCTGGGTATCATTTTCCGCTCCTTCAGTTGAAACTTCATCTCGAATCTGTGCACTTGTCCTCTTTGCATTCGCCACTCTTGTGTACGGTATGACAGTTATAATGTTGATCTTCACACGTGTACTCTGACACTTCATATTATCAAACCACAGAATCTTTGTAGGTGTGATACCCTGCCTTGCCCTGCAAGATCTTGTCCTGCACTGCAGGATCCTGTCGTGCACTGCAGGGGCCCCCCTGGCTGGCACTACAGGTTCCTTGTCGGACCTGGAGATCCCTGGCCTGCCCTGGAAATCCCTGGCCCGTACTGGAGATCCCTGGTGGGCACTACAGCTCCCAACATTCATACCTTCCCCACAGCCGTTTGTCCCTCGATATATCCCCCCCCCCGTCCAATAGCTGCTTTGCCACTCGTTACATTCACTCCACAGCTGTTATCTCGCTCGTTATATTCACCGCACAACTGTTGTCACTGGTTATATTCACCAGTGTTAAACATACTGGGCTTAGATTAACCTCGTGTGTTCTTTGATGCTCGGCAGGTCCTTCGAGTAATGAATTGCTCCAAACTACATTTACAAAAGTATATCGCATCGTCGAAAGCTTTAATCTTTAATTATTTTTCATTTAATTTAATTACAACTTCAATTATGTGTCAATGTTTGCATTGTAATTGTAATTATTGTATTATGTTTGTACGGTGACACGTGAGACTTCCGACACGACATGAGAATACATATCTAGAGTATACCTGGAGTATATCTGGACTCGGTTTTGGTAGTTAATCTGCCGGCTCGAGGCCAGACTTGACTTGTGAGAACTTGGTCCAACAGGCTGTTGCTTGGAGCGGCCCGCAGGCCCACATATCCACCCTGCTGGTCTGACACCCGCACCTTCTACCGCTCTACCAACAGAAACCCTTCACCTGTGTACAGCCGTCACACGCGCCTGTATGGGAGTAGAGACTAGAGAGGACACATTAACTCTCCACACCAACCGTTCCTGTGGGCCCCGGAAACTAGTGTGATGTTCACTGAATGAAAGTTTCTGCGTTACGAGGAAAATGTATAAAATAAGACCGAAACCGCATGCATTACACGGCCAAACCAAGCCGCAGCGCACGAAGAAAATGTAAAAGATATGCCAGCAATGATGCAAAGGAGCCTATGTTTAAAACAACACAATAGGAAAAGATGGCCACTCACAGCAACCCCAAAGTCTTTAGAACATGTCGGGGTGGGCAAAAATGTACTTCGATGTGTTCCTTATGACAGCTTTCAACTTGTTTTCCTCAATAACCCACATGGAAAAGGGAAAGCGTAGGGAAAGCGGCGTCCATGGCCTTGACTGTCCTTACCTATTCAGCAGTGATTGATACGCTAGTACGCCCATGGCCCCGGGCGTCACCGCCGCCCCCGCCACCATCCTGGTGGCTGTGTCTGGAAGGAGAAAGTGGAAACATTGATGGTGACGCCCGGTGAGCCTGGGAGTCGCTGCCTGGGAGGAGCAAGCATCACCACCTCTCTCACCAACACCAAAATCCTCACTAGTCTGGCCAAGCTTCGACGTTTCCTGCCGCACCAACAATTTTGATAAAAATTGCCCTCCGGCGACGCGAACAGATGAGGTCTGGCGTATCCGAAATCTCCATCGCAAGTCCCAGTCATATATATATATATATATATATATATATAATATGACAGTGTCAGACCACGGAGGAAAATTGAAACAGGAATTTCCTTAAGTACTTTCGTATATTAATACATCTTCAGAAGGAGTCGTATATTAATATACGAAAGTACTTAAGGAAATTCCTGTTTCAATTTTCCTCCGTGGTCTGACACTGTCACATTTTTAATCACGTGTTTATTTTCGTGATACACACACACACACACACACACACACACACACACACACACACACACACACACACACACACACACACACACACACACACACACACACGCGCGCACACACATATATATATATATATATATATATATATATATATATATATATATATATATATATATATATATGTATATATGTATATATATATATAATGTATATATATATGTATATATATATATATAATGTATATATATATATATATATGTATATATGTATATATATATATATATACATATATACATATATATGTATATATATATATATCGCTTCCCTGGACGTTGAATCCCTTTTTACCAACGTCCCAGTCGACACAACCATAGGAATGATACTGGACAGAGTATACAGAGACGAGAGCACCCCCAAATTAGACATACCTGAGCCACACTTGAAAAGTCTTCTCGAAGCATGTACAAAGGAAGCCCCTTTCATCAGTCCACAAGGAGACATGTATTTACAAATAGACGGAGTAGCAATGGGCTCCCCCTTAGGAGTTTTATTTGCTAATTTTTATATGGGAACCATCGAAGATAGGGTCTTCAGTAGCAGACAAAAACCAACTGTATACTGCCGTTATGTAGATGACATATTCGTAATAGTAAAAGACTCAGATGAACTAATTGACCTAAAAAGACACCTAGAGAGAGAGTCAGTACTCCGATTTACACATGAAAATAGTGAAAATAACAGACTGCCATTCTTGGATGTACTAATAACAAAAACAGGAACCTCTTTAAGCACCAACGTATATACCAAGCCCACCAACATAGGATTATGCCTGAACGGTAGAAGTGAGTGCCCCCAAAGATACAAAGCCAGTGTTCTCAATGCTTATATTCGTCGAGCGCTTACCCACTGCTCTGAATCGAGCAACGTGAGTAGAGAGTTTGAAAGAGTAACTCAGGTATTGGTGAACAACGGATATAGCAACGCGGAAATAAACGCTGCTATAAGAAGACACTTGGACCGTTGGTATAATTCAGAACCTAGAACAGAAACCACAACACCCCCAATAAAATTATATTACAAATCAACCATGCACAGTGAACATATAAAAGAGGAAAGAATAATGAAAGAAATAATCCGTAAAGGAGTAAAAAGCACTACTCCTAACCAAAACATAAACCTGATAATATTCTACAAAACCAAGAAGACTTCCGAACTCCTTATCAAAAACAGCCCGAAGCCGACGGAGAACCCTCTACAGCAGTCAAGCGTTGTATACATGTACACTTGCCCCCACGAAGGATGTAACCTTCAATGTAAGTACATAGGTATGACGTCGACCAAGCTGACGAGGCGTCTGACATGCCATCTTCAATCTGGTGCCCCTAGGAATCACATGAGACAAGCCCATGACATTACTCTAACAAGAGAAATGTTGAACAAGAATACTTGCATAATAGACAAAACCCAAGATTCAAGAAGATTACAAATTCTTGAGGCAATTCACATAAGAATAGAGCGACCTACCATGAACACCCAAATCACGGAACTATTTACTCTACCCACCATGAGAGTAAGGACAAGACAAGAACATATCGATGTCAACACAGAAGACAATGCCCAACATAACAGGCCAATTACACTGGATTAATCTTTGTGTTTAGATAGGAGATGCCTCGTATGGGCCAATAAGCCTTCTGCAGCCCCTATGTTTATCCCTTATGTATCCCCCATGTTTTTCACCTTCATTGTATTATCACCTGACCTAATGCGGGTATAAAATCAACTAGTATTGTAAGATCTGTTCACTTGAGAATGAACCATGGAGGTTCGAAACGTCGTGCAAATTATACAAATAAGTGTAATACACTCTATAGTAAATCACTTCTTTTCTTCACCTTAAAAGTACGAAAATGAGTTTTGGAGAACTCCTATTCCAATTAAGCCCTGATGCTAAGAAAATAGTTAGAGGGATAGAAGCCCTAAACCAGAAAATAATAAATACAGAATATGCGGTCATATTCAATGAAACATGTTTGAAAGAAAACCTGCTGCCAGTATACACCAATATATATAATGTATATATATATATATATGTATATATATATTATTAAATATGACCGAAAAAGTAAGATTAATAATTCTAACACGAATATTCTCAATCTTTCGTACATTTCTTTTCACTGTTGGTGGTAATTCAAAAATCAATTCTCCAAAATTCATTTTTATTTCTAGTCTGACGCGACACTTGAGCGCGTTTCGTAAAACTTATTACATTTTCAAAGACTTTAGTTTAAACATACACAACTGAATAGAACTTACACATCTCCGATTTGTTTATATCTACATTTGAGTGAGGTGGATGGGGTGAGGTGGTATTTAATAAGGTATTAATTTCATCAACACAAGACAGAACAAGACAGTGGGTATTGAATAGAAGTGATTGTAGAAAGCCTATTGGTCAATATTTCTTGATGCTTCTATATTGGAGCGGAGTCTTGAGGTGGGTAGAATATAGTTGTGCATTAATTGGCTGCCAGCCAACTTTGCACTATGGTGATCATACTTATAAAAAGTAGTATCTAAAAAGGAGGATAGGCTGTATATATTGAAGGGTGGAGGATGCTACAGCGATAGAATAGCGTGTTGGTTGAAAGGGAAGGCTATATGGATCCCGCTCGTCTGATGGAAAATTAGTTTCGTGTGAAGATTTGCATTTTTATCCGAGGAGAAACTGGCTGGCTCACGGATGGAAGTTTTAGGGAAGCGAAGGTGTTCTTTGTGTAGTAGTTTACTGCTCTCTCTCTCTCTCTCTCTCTCTCTCTCTCTCTCTCTCTCTCTCTCTCTCTCTCTCTCTCTCTCTCTCTTTCTCTGTCTCTGTCTCTGTCTCTCTCTCTCTCTCTCTCTCTCTGTCTCTGTCTCTGTCTCTCTCTCCTCTCTCTCTCTC